CTTTCGTAGATCGTACACAAACCGGGGCTTTTTCCCTTGACTCATTGCGCGCCGCGGCACGACACGGAACGGCTCTGGAACGCCACTTCATAGTGGCGGTATTGAATGACGGCGAGGAAAGAGAAAGAGCGAGCTCTCGCTGTACGGCAGGAGCCCTGATAATAATGTAGCGTAAGTCCAGTTCCCAAGGACGAGGGAAGGGGGGAGGGTATGTGGCCATGGGAAAGACCGCGGGAAGAAGGGTGGCTTTTCGGACGCGCTAAATCGGCGGCATTGAGACGCAGGAAGGAGAGATTTGGCGAGAAAACGCGCGCGGGCAGAGATTTCGTCATTTCCGGCCGAAATTCTATGTCGCGAGCGGCCGGAGGAATTTTTTACGGCGAGGATTACGACGGAATTTATCGTAACCGGGGAACATATCGGAATTTATCCTAATTTCGCTTCAGAAATGTTAATCGTCGGGCACCGGTCTGCTATTGAAAAACTTGCTATTGAAAATGCTTACGTTGCTCAGCACGATAAACTCCGCCCGCGATTCATCTACCGAGAAACGGCGCAAGATAGAAAAAATGAATGTGCGGAGAGAAAAGTACGCAACATTTCCTTCGTTGGTCTGCAACTTGGGCGAGAAAAAGTGCGGCGTCTATTTCGCGGAATTTTGCATTTACGCGAGTTGTAATCCTAATTCTCTAAACTCGACCGTAAATGTCTTTCTTCAGTAACGGTTTCGGTTTCCAGTGATATTCCAGCGTGGAATTTCTCATAGAAATTACTTAAATTCTCTCACATAATGGTGTGTTTTATATTTGCGACGTGTGTTTTATATTTTTATATTTTATGACTTTGAATAAAACTGGAAGGAAATGAACACTCTCCGGCTTGCTCTTTACGTACTTCTCTCGGAAACCTTTCGCTTTGACCGCTCCGGTAGAAATAAGTCATCAATCTCGTTCGCTCCATATGTCGTCGTATTTATATTTCAGAAGCTGAAATTTACTGTTGAAAAGTTTATCGCGTTGCTCGACGCAAAATTTACTGCGTTGCTCGAGAAGATAAAGTCCACTGACAGTCTACTCTTGCCGCTACCAGGCTGACACGGTAAAAATGAAGAGAATTTACCTGAAGAAAGAGTCATAGGATATTCTGCCTGTATAACTTCAAAGTTACCCGACCTTTGACATTTTCATTCCCCCGCCGCTGTAACGTGAGCAATGAGCGCTATATAATATTTTACGGCAGAATGAGAAAGTTAAATTGAAATTCGACGTTCGATATCGAAGCTCAACAGCTCACCGATCTATTTCTAGTTGTGTAATTTACGGGCCTACGTGGTTTGCGGTCTGGAAAAAATTGAACCTCCGAATTTATATTCTTTTGTGCTTCCCTCTCTTCCTCTCTGCTGTCCCTTTGTCTCTCTCTCTCTCTCTCTCTCTCTCTCTCTCTCTCTCTCTCTCTCTCTCTCTCTCTCTCTCTGTGTGTGTGTCTCTGTCTCTCCCCCGCGCACGGAAATATCAGCCGACTATGTCAAAGCATTCCCGACAAATTAAACTCGGCAGCGACGGAGCAATTAATTTAATATTATCTCCGTGTACAAACTCGCGAGAGAAAACTCGGCGAAGATCCCCCGCGTGTATCGATGGCGGAGAGTCGAGAGTGCCAATTCATTAAATCTCAGTCTCGCTCCGGGGTTTTATCGTCAAGATTTCCGACATTATACAAGAGGCTAATGAAGTTTAAAGTTCCCAAGATGACGATGTGTTTGCAACGTGTTTCGCTTGCGCGACGGGCGGGCGGGGCAGGGCGGAAGGGGAGAGGTGATATCTCAAATTCTTAGCGCTATAAACCAGCGGGGAGTCTCTTCGACAGCGGAAGCTTTAATGCTCCGAGAGATCTCCGACGACTTGATATTCGCGCGACTCGAACGGAATAGTAATGGAATACCCCGCACACGTGCATTTAATGACGCTTCGGAAGCTATCGCTTTGCCCCGCCGCGCCGCGCTGCACCGGTGCATCGAGACTTTTCCGGAAGAAAAGAGAAAAAAAGAGAGACAGAGAGAGAGAGAGAGAGAGAACGAAAGAAACAAGAGGGAAACGTAGCGCCTAACGTGCTGCGTGTGGATAACCTTGTTCCATTGAAATAACGGCTCTCGAACGCGCCGATTTAATTCATAACGACCACTTAATGCCCCCGCGTGTAGCTGCAAGCCAGCGTGACTTTGATAAGCTTATATATCGTGTGCTCGACAAGTGTCGATCAATCCGCCGCGCCGACCGCGCGCGTCGCCGAGCGTTGTTCATTCTGCTTCGTTCCTCTCACCGGCGAATTCGAGTAATTCGCGAATACACTGCGAGCCCTCAGGCCCTCCGCCGAGGGCGCGGCCGACGAGTTCGCGTTCTCGCGAATCTACTGGAATCCGCAGCGAGCGCGAGAATCCCGCCGAATTTGCCCTCGCAATCCCGTGTTTATGCATTCTATTCATTTTACAATGCGCGCGCGCATAATAGAAACTTACGAAGGCGCGATGTAAAAAGCGAGCCGGCTAATTACTCCCCGGCCGGCTGTGTGTGGAGCTGATCCCGTGGGATCGCAATTGCCGGTCTTGAACGCGACCGTTTAAATTATGGCCGGCACTTAATGCACTCTCCGTATGTAACTACATGAGCCGGCGCAGCGACTCGACAACTTCGCAAAGGCAGCGTGCCAGGAACTCGTAATTGTTTCGAATCAACGATACTTTAGGCTTTTCGCCCGGCCACGGCGGCGGCCGGCGTCCGTTCTCCGTAGGAATCGCTCCGGACCCGGATATCACGTTATTGTTTCCTTCTCTCTCCGCGCGCGACGATATTTCGTAGCGGGAGGAGGAAATGCGAGGAAAAGCTGTGGAAAAAGAGAGAGAAACATTACCAAGTCGCCCCCGCGGAGACCGTCGCGACGCGGTCGTTCCTTGTCGGCGCGACGACGTATGTTGATAAAAAGAGGGGGGGGAGGGAGAGGAAGGGAGAAGAGAGAGACGTCGCAAATTTTTAATGACAAGCCGAAGCAGCGGCCCGACGACGAGGCCGCTTTTTTATACGCTCGGAACGATATTTCATGCACTAGAATGCAAATTCGCCGTACGTCCATTAAACAGCCGGGATAAATTTCTGGGAGGGGGGGAGCTTTTTCGAGTAAGGAAGAAGCGGTTGACCTGCTTCTCTCGAGGCCATGACACACAGCGCCGTTAAACCTGGTTTAATCAATGGGCGCGCCATGTTGCACGTACATCCACACGTATACACACACACACACGCGCGCGCGGGTATGTACAGGGTGGAGCATACATCACGTGTTTGGGAGATACACACCGGCGAAATTGACGTTTTCCAGTTCTTTTTTGCTTCTTTTCCTCCTCTTCTTTTTCCGCCGACGTCCGGTTGCAAATCTTGCAACCGGCAAATCGCATCGCGCGCGCGTCTATTCCCGAATAAAAACACGCAGCGAGGAACTTAACGTTTAGCGTTAATTAGGGGATCCAAATGGCAGCTCGTTTGTTTGTGGAAACGAAGAAAAAGCCACGCGCGCGCGCGCTAAGTGTGCTCGCTTCCGTCTGAAAAGCGGCCGCGCGAGATTCGCTTTTCGGCGAAACGAGCTCTCGCGCGAACCTGCAATTTTTTCAGCCGGGATTATTCGAGCCGTTATACGCGATATCGCGCGGGATATACGCGAGCGATTTTGCGAATTATTGTATTCGCTGTCGGTCGGTCGGTCGGTCGCCGCTGCTTCCGCGGATAAAAGCGCGCCGTGTCGCGTATTTCAATAACGCGACGAGCCGCAAACTATCGGAATCGCATTAATCTGCCGGCGGGAGCGGCGCGAGATTGTCGAAATTGCGCCTTTCGCCGTCTTACAGATAAGATTAGGCCAGTAACGACAGCTATTTCTCTCTTTCTTCTCTATTTTCCTCGCGAAATTCACGGCCATACTGTAGCCCTTTTTTCCATTCCCCTCCCTTCCTCCGCCCGTCGGCCGAATTTATCAGCGCGGATTCTTCGCACGTCATATCGTAATAACGGGCGGAGCAAATTCGCAGATTTGCGAGAACGTCGCTCTTTCATTCCTCACACGCGTACAAAATACATATCGAGATGCAAAAGAAAATATATTTATATATTTCTATTCTTTCGTCTATTTCTTATAAATAATACAGTGTACCGCCCACCAGGCGATGCGCACATCTATGAACGCCCACGTTCACACACACACACACACATACACACACACACACACACACACACAAACGCGTTTATAATATATTTATTAATATTAATTTATAAATATAATTAGGTAATCACGTTAATATGCACAGCCAGGCGGGAGAGGGGATCGGGCGGTATAATTGATATAATATCGGCGGGGAAGTAAATCTTTATATTTAACGAGCATAAATTAAATATAATAATTGATCGAAATGGAACGGTAATGAACCGCGCGCAGTGCGCGCATGTCCGGTGGCTGCTCGCGTTTCGGCGGCACGTATACGTGTATGTGTGTGTACATGTGTGTGTGCGCGAAATATGGCGATATCGCAAAACTTGTGATTCACTTTCGCGACAACGTGCTTCTCTCTCTCTCTCTCTCTCTCTCTCTCTCTCTCTCTCTCTCTCTCTCTCTCTCTCTCTCTCTCTCTCTCTCTCTCTCTCTCTCTCTCTCTCTTTCTCTCTCCTTTTTACGAGAAAAGACTCCGAGCTGGTTCGTGGTTCCGATGGATTTTATTACACGCGAAATTTCACGTAGCGCAGGTAACCCCGCCGGGAGGAGGAAGGAAAACGGGCGAGGAGAATAAGAGAAAAGCGGAGGAGAACAACGGGGAGGGAAACAGACGAGCGCCGCAGCCGCAGCCGCAGCCGCAGCCGCCGCGTTTGAAGTCGGCTCGCGCGCGACGGAGCTCGACGCGGAGGGCGCGTTGATACAAGGAGGTTGGACGCGGAGACGACGGCGGAACGAGAGCTTGCACGTACCTTGTCGAGATCTATCTCCTCCTGGGAATTGAGATGCATGCAGTTGATAGCGTTGGGGTCCATATCGATGGTATTATCGCCTCTACTCAGGCCGGCGAATACCAACACCAACACGCACCACTTCATCGTTTACGTCGGAGTCCGAGCCGGGCCAATTAATTAAGCGCGATCCTAGAAACCCCAATTACAAGGGGTAATTAATATCGCGGATCCCGGGCCGCACGGACGCGCGGCGAAGATTTCCACTCGGAACTCTTGACGGCTCGTCGCCGTCGCCGTCGCCGTCGCTCTACCACGACGCACTGCGAGCTCTACGAGCGTCGAGCATCACCCTGTCTAGCGATTCACTTCCGGCTGTCGCGGAAGGAGAGAGACGCAGAAAACGATGCCTCGTTCTCGGCGGCGGAGCCGAGGTCTCCTCAGAGTGACGATGCTGCGTCTCTCCGCGGCAGCATCGCCGAGCGATCTCGAAGCGAAAGGTCACGCGCGCGACGAATCGCGCTCCTTACGTCCGCCGAGCCGTTCCCGTTCGAGCGACGCTCAAACGATTTAATTGAACACGTCCAACGCGCCCACTGCGTCCTCGCTGTTGGCCCGCTTGATGATCGATGCCTCAGCGCATCGCGCTCGATCGCGCGTCGCCCTCGGCTCCTCCGTCGCGATGACGCTTCGCGCGATTTTCCTCCCTAGAGCAGCGACACTCTCTCTCTCTCTGCGGAGAAAACGCAGCTTCACGCGGCAGCAGCTTCAGGAGAGCGTCGACTCCTGCAGATCGCTGTTCATTCCAGATCGCCAGATCAGGCTTCACCTGTCACCGCCGATGATTCCTCCCGAGAGAGCGCAGCGCGCCCGTTGTTCCCGCGAATCGATCTTCACGTGGATCGATGGGCGATCCACTCCGGCGAAATGGCACGGCAATGTCGACACGCGATCGTCCTTACGAGAGCGCTCCGCGAGGATGCGAGGAGCCGCGCCGCGCGTACTGATCTCGCCGGAGCGCGGAGAACAAGTGGAGAAAGACGCTCGCCCGTCTGGCACCCCGCGTAGCGATCGCGCTCGCTCTCTCTCTCTCTCTCTCTCTTTCTCTCTCTCTCTCTCTCTCTCTCTCTCTCTCTCTCTTTCTCTCTCTCTCCCTCTCGCTCTCCGGATAATCGGACTGAATTGCCGCTCCGTCGGATCGTCACGGCGGATGATTCCCGCTGCGAGACGAGCAGAAATTTCGCGATGACGTAACGGCCGAGAGGAGAGACAAGGAGGACTCTCGGAGTGTCTTCCCTTAATTCCGCGGCGAATGAAGCTGAGACTCTCCACGATCCGGATCTCTCGCAGCAGCGTCGTTTTCAATTTCCGCCGCCGCCGCCGCCGCCGCCGCCGCTGCCGCCACCGCCGGCTCTCCCGTGACTGCGAGCAGCAGCGAGCTTCGCCGAAGCGGTGTTGTATACGATGAGATCACAAAGCGCATTCAGCGGCGTCTCATGAAACAACAGGACAACGACGGCTACGCAACGTGTTGCTCTCACGGTTTACACGCGCGCGCGCGCGCGCGCGGGTGCGCGAGTGTGCGTGCGTGTATTAATCGACCAGAGACGATCCGCGATGTCGCGCTGTTATCCGCCAGCCGACGTCGAGCCGCAGAGAGAGATGCGTACGCGACGAAGTCGGAGAGCACTCTGACGTTCCCAGTCTGCCGCGCTCTGGTCCTCGTTCGGTACGTCCGTTCGTCCGTTCGTCCGTTCGTCCGTCCGTCCGTCCGTCCGTCGGTCCTCCGACCTCCGACCTCCGTCGCGACGCCAGAATGAACGAACGGAGAGAGAAACGCGAGATAGTGGGGGATAACGGCGTGGATAAGGACGGGTTACGAAAGAACGAGCGGGGAGGAGGGGCTGGAGGGCGGGGGGAGGGGGGCAAACCGCGGGGGAATCCGCCGAAAACGGAACTGATAAACGGGGTGGTAATCGGGGACAGGTTGTCATTTCGGCGCGTCGACGCGGCACGACGATCGTCCGACGCGACCTATCGCGATCAGCGCGAATTAGGGGATTAGGGGTGGGCGCGGGAATTACGGGGGGAAGAGAGAGACGGACAGATGTAGAGGGCTGGATAATTGATAGATAATAAGCGGAGATAAAATAGAGAGCGGGTGGTGGAACGAATGCGTTTGTCGTCGCGATGTAGAGCGAGCGGCGCCTCTAAGAGCGAGAAGAAATGAAAAATGCAGGAGACAATAGATGGATAAATGATGGTCGATCGATAAGGATATAATTGGGGACACGGATAATGGATGGGTAATTGATTGAAAATAAATGGAGATATCGTCTCCACTGCACCCCTCTCTGTTTATTCCCTATGATTTATCTCGTTTCTTTTATTTTTCTGTGCTGAACGATACTTTTTATTTCTTCTCGCTCTTACGAGACTAAGCTGTAGGGCGACAGTAAACGCATTTATCTCTCTACTTTAGAGAATATTAGAGCCTAATCTACTAGAGTACCTTAGTCCTCTAAGAGCAAGAAGAAATCAAAAGTATTATTTAATGCAAACATTACAATCCGTAAGCGAGAAAAAAAACTATTCGTGAAATGATTTTCTATCGTAGATTTCAAATCTCGCTGCTGCTCCACCCGATTGGTTCGTGCATTTTGAGTGGACGGACGACGAAACGAGCGCAAGTTGTTTGAAAGATTGAACAAATGCTGAAATGTATTAAAAATGCGGACAAGTACAACGCACGGGGAAAAAGCGAACGGATTAACATAACAATGACACGCGATTTAAGCGCGTTTTGCTTGAAGCGAACGAGATTACTGATTCTTACGGACCGAATTCGGCTGTTTGCGACCAGAATTTCTCTCCGCTTCAAGCGGAATACGTTTAGTTTGGCATCATTCTCATGTTAATTCAACCGCTACCTTTCCTCTTCGTGCGCGTATCAATAAACATAGAAAAGCGATAAATAACGAAATGTAGATAAATATAGAAGATATGCAAATAAATACAGATAAAATGAACGTAACCTATGATAGCACGCGCTGTATATATAATAGTTGAGATAAAAATTTACATACAGCTCGAGCGCTTAGAGAAACAGAGAGAAAGAGAGAGAGAGAGAGAGAGAGAGAGAGAGAGAGAGAGAGAAGAAAGAAGGGAGGAGGGAGGAGATACAACTGGAAAATATCGAGTGACGCAACGGCGCAGCCAAGCGCTCTCTCTCTCTCTCTCTCTCTCTCTCTCTCTTTCTCTCTCTCTCTCTCTCTCTCTCTCGCCAAGCGGCACCAATTTATAAAAAGACCGAGTCAACACGCGGCACCAACCCAATTCCTCCCATATGACTTACGGCATTATTAATTCTCGCCATTTCCGCACGCGACGTTACGAATTCTCCACGGAGAAGCACGCCCGCGGAAATTGTTGCTCCGCACTTAGCGGAACGGGAATGACGTGCTGTCCGTCTTGCTCTCCAGAGAGATCGATCGTTAACTCGACCGTTCTTGCTGCAACCCGCGCGCGTTTTTGCCGGTCCTGCCGGGTCTCGCAAGTACGTGACATAAATGCCAGTCGATCTTTGAAAAGATGCGAAACGGGGTGAAACAATTATTCACGCAGTGTGTATGCGCGCGATATGCCTGCGCGGCTCGAGTTTGTAGTATATTTTCGTCCGTGGCGGATCGAGCGGCTCGCAGAGTTCCAAGTAGAAACAGTCGCGAACAGGACGGACGAAAAAATCGCCGCGGTTATCGAAAGTGCGTCACGTTGGCGTACCGACCGATCGCGAAACTGAGGCGAACGTTCCAGTTAGCGATCGAGCAACTCCGTCGTGAAGACAAATTAATGAATTAATAATGCACGCGTTAAACTAAGTAAACTAAGTACAGAGTTGATTTAATTGGAGAGTTCGAGGTACATTTGGAGTTTTAATTGTGTGTTGTACTCTTTTAATTGAAGATTTTTCTTTATTTATTTATAATACCTCGTCGAAGAGTTGGTTTCGCCGGGGAAAGTTTGTATGTTTGAGTTTTTAATTATGTCATACCTCCTCACTAATTAACGAAAACATTTCAATTTGTTTGTAATACTTCCTCGGAAAGTTGATTTTTCGTTGGAAAGCTTGCTCGTTTGAGGTTTTCGACTGTCGCGTTTTTCTAATTGATGGAAAGATATTTGTGTGCTTGTACCTTATCAGAATGTTTATTTATTCGTAATATTTTCTCAAGAATTGCTGAAGCACATGACTTGGTAACACGATACAGTTTAGCTTCGTTTCTTAATTAACAGTTTGTCTCGAAGAAATTGGAGAATAATTACATGGATTTAATAAATACACATTTGATATTAACTATTTGTAAAACTTCAACTGTGACTTTGAATTTTGACCGTTAGTGTTACGTAATTACAATATTCTATTCATTAAGGCATTTGATTCGAATCTTGTTCAAATCGATAATATATAAAATAAAAATAAAAATTGAAAATAAAAATATATATTTAAGATAAGCATAGTATATTAGCTTGTTTATTAGGAGAAATAGATGTAATGACTACAAATCGAGACCTTCATTAATTGGAACTGTCGCTAATTAGAACATTCACCTCGTTACATTGTTTAAACTTCTATTGTTAATCCGCATATTCTTTTCGTATCTTTTTTTTTGCATAATTATTGTATCTTTCTGGTTTGACCTAGTAGTAGCAATCATTATCGTCGCCCTGCTTTTCGTGTCTCCTTGGTACAATACGACATGTTGCGTATTGATATTTTTCAATACGCAGGGAGCAAAGTTTCTAATAGAGTAGGATACAACGGAATATTAAAATCGATATCAGAAGGACACACATATACACGCCGCTTTTCACATTCCCATTTCTCGTTTCCATTACTTGCGCGCCGCGTAGTTTCGCGAATTTTATTATATTCCGTGAGTTTCTCATTAATATAATTATTATACCGGTATCACTTTTATCATATCGTCGCTCGCTCTCTCTCTCTCTCTCTCTCTCTCTCTCTCTTATTATTACTCTCGTTACAATCCGACCGATCGAATTTCTCCAAACTCTGCACTCTCTGCTTCCGTACCGGAGAAATGTCATGTATCATCATTATACTCTATAACGCAATTCGCTCAATTATCCGATCCAATTTTATCTCATGTTTCTCTGGCACTTTTTCCTGCTTTTTTTTCGGCAGGTATCGGTTTCTTCGGTACACTTTGGAAATTGTACGCTCTTTTGCGGAAAAGCGCGCGAAATTTCGCTCGCTTTAGGAGAAACTCGTCCGCGGCTCGTCGAAATTCGATGCATTCGAGCCATATCGCAGCGACCAACCCGAACATATCTCGTCGCGGTAGCGACGGCAGCTTTTCAGCGGGGAGCTTCGACAAAATAGTGATAATAATAAACGAAACGTGAGGCGATAAATGCGCGTCGGCTTATACCGAACGGCTTGTCTTTCGAGTGGCGGAATTTCAGATTACTCGTCCGGATGCTAAACATTACACGGCGCGTCGCTAATGACATTCGACGCGTATACAAAGCTCCGGCACTCTCTGATCAATTGCGAAATTATATTGCATCATTGCGAATGATACATGGGTTATATATTTATCCCGAATGTAAAATATTCCACGCGGTGACCTCGTACATTTTACATTTATCTATTTTGCATGGGCCGCACGAGAGTGACGAGCGTCGGGGGACACCGACCTGCGTCCGGTGGAAATTTCTCAAGGTTTAACTGTATACACCGCACAGATTTCGCGATCAGAAAGTCCAAAACGTGGTTGCTCCACCGCGACGGTGGTAAATGGCAACTCTGTTTTTATAATTCCCAAGTATTTTTGCGAGTCCTAAACAGGGGTTGATATTTTACACGCTGCTGTTATTAAGCGTGGCTTCTGCGTCCAAAATCCAAACGAAGATATTATGAAAATCCGTACTTTTTCATTCCGACAGACAAAGCCGGCACGCTTTTATGAAATTACAGAGGGAATCCTTTCGTGCACCAACTCAATTCTCAATTCAATTCAATAGAATAAAAACTTAAACGAGATTCAAAACATGTGAAACATTTTACGCTTTTTAGATATTTATAAACATAAAATGCATTGTATGTTTTGTATAATACTGATGCAAAATGGAAAATGAGGAGAAACTCTCGGAAAATATTCGCCAAATCTGCTTGTGTCTGTTTGTTTTTTTAAATCAACCGTCGAGCTCGAAAGAACAGCAAGTTTGGCAAAATTTAAACTGACAGACGTCAAGCATAAATAGCCAAAATGCTCCATAATGGCCAAAATTCGGTTTCGGCCGATTTTAATATAAAGCGCAAAGCAAGAAATATCTTTTGGAGAAACACAAATTCGACGCAGGTCAAATGACGGATCAAATCCGTTTCATTTCCCGACTTGCCGGAGTTGCTCGTTTGAAGCTCCCGAGCTTCCCGTAAATTTCTTAATCAGGGTCCGCGATATTTTCGGGAGGTCGGACCGGGTCCCAATGAGAGAGATCCCAGGAAATTTTCCACGTGGATTAAAGCGCGCCTGTCCCGCGCGCCGTCTGTACACGTCTATTCGCCGACTTTCTCGAGTCCTCGGAAGTTCCAAATCGCAGGGCGAACTTCCGTCGCAGAAATGGGAGAAAGGGCGAAATTTATAACGATCGCGCGCAACAGCGAGTATATACTGCACGGGAGGAG